AGTTTCTTAAAAAGTTAAATATACACCTGTCTCACGACCTAGCCATTCTACTTCTAGGTATTTACCCAAGAGAAATGAAAGCATATACCACACAGAAATGTATACACCAATGTTCATGGCATATCTACCATATTTGTAATAGCCAAAAACTGGAAACAACCCAGTGTCAACAGGTAAAAGAATAAATACACTGGAGCATATCCATTCAGTGGAATACTACTCAGCAATAAAAGGAGTGAACTGTTGATACACACAGTAGGATGGATGAATCTCTAAATAATCATGCTGAATGAAAAAACCTGGAAATACAAGAGTACATACATACTGCTTGACTGAATTTATAACAATTCTATAAAATGCCAGTTACTCTGTAGTTACAGATCAGTGGTTGCTTAAAGACAGGAGGCATAGGAGTTGGAGGGAGTGGAGGAGTTATGAAGGGCAGAAGAAACTTTTGAGGGTGATGGATATGCTGGTTATCTTGATGGTTTCACAAGTATGTACATTTGCCAAAACTTATCAAATTGTACATTTTATAAAGATGCAATTCATTATATGTATGCAAGTTATATCTCAATAAAATTGCTATAAAAATTATAGACACTGTTTCTGAGAGACACCTCTTCTGCCTCTCTCCCTCTCCTACTTCTGTTTGCCTGATCAGATGGGGAGGTTTGGGTACCTAGTCACCCAAGGATCACAGCATCTCATGGATTTGCCCACTCTCCTCTGCTTTGTAGCAGTGAAGCCCCTATAAATACTCCCTTCACCACACTTTTTTCATGGCTGCATGTACCTTCTAGGAAGCACCTTCCTAGGAATGCATCTGCCGTTCCTTTCAGCTGGCTCACTGCAAACACTCTTGATGGTTTCCCTTCAGCTCAGTAAGCTGCTGCCCACAACTTGAGTGAATAGGTAAAAGCTAATACCCATTGTATCAGTTGCCCGTGGATGTTGTAACAAATTACCACAAATTTGTTAGCTTAAAAACAAAAGTTTATTATCTCAGAGTTCTGGAGTCCAGAAGTCTGAAATCAAGGTGTTGGCAGGGCCACACTCCCTCCAAAGGCTCTAGAGGAGAATCCTTCCTTACCCCTTCCAGCTCTGGTGGCCCCAGATGTTCCTTGACTTGTGGCCACATGACTCCAGTCTCTGCCTCCATCTTCACATGGCCATTCCCCTTTGTCTCTCAAGTCTCCCTCTGTCTTTCTCTTACAAGGACACCTGTCATTGGATTTAGGGCCCTCTCTAAATCCACAATGATCTTATCTTGAGATCCTTAATTACATCTGCAAAGACCCTTTGCACATTCACAGGTACTAGTGGTTAAGACTTGGACATATCTTTTGGGGGGCTACTATTCAATTCACTACAGCCATCTATATCTTCAAATTTCTAGGGATAGTTCAAGGGTAAGGCATGTGGCATTATCATAGGACCTGAGATACATGGGTAGGATCTACAAGTGTTTCAGCCTGTGAAGTCCTTTTGCTTGGGCCTCTCTGATATCCCAGTGAAATCTGTAAATGAAATGATCTGACCTTTGCCCCACTGTATTGCTATGGTGATGGCCCATAGCCTCAGGGCCATTCACAGCCCAGTAAATTTGGCAGATGGCTGGCTAGTCTTACGCAGTAGTCATAGGGCTTGGAAGGAAGGAACATTTATTGAATCTCTAATCTGTGCCAAGATTTCCACTTTAATCTCTACAAAAATCCTGAGGTAGGTTGTAGATTTCCCATTTTATAGATGAAGAAACTGGTTAGAGAACTTTTCTAATTTGCCCAGAATCATGCAGTCAGTAAATGGCAAGGCTAGGATTTATAATGAGGTCTCCTGGACCCGAAGCCTAGTAACATTTTTGCCATATAGGACTCCATCACAAGCCCAGGGAAGATGAGTGACCAAACCCATACTTCTCTACTCAAGATCATTACCGTTTCCCTTGGATAATGGCCATTTAGTGATTAGTAACTTGTTAGTGGCACAGGACTGGCACCCAGTGGCTATAGCTAAAAACTACAAGATTAATGATAGGTCCAATTCTTTTACCTCTGCACCAGTCCCTCAGTTTCCATTTCTAAACAGGTAAAGTAGAATAGCTGACCTCTTGAGTAACATTGAATAAAACCATCTATGGCTATTATATAGTTTATGGAGAAATGAAAGAAATGAGAGAATATTTAGGGTTTTATAGAATATATTCATGGAAAGGTCGTGCCAAGAGTGGAGATTTTAAGCCTTGGTGTTGGAACAGAGGACAGTGGGCCATGAAGACAAGAGAGTAATCCTGGACTTACTGTCACATTTGAGTGTAGGGACTAAAAACTTAAACCCAGAGTAAGCAGGAGCAGTAGCATGGAGGCAGCTTCCTAAGGAAAGGTATTGTTTCGCAGGTGGTAGACCAGAATGAAATGTCTCATAGAGTGTTAAACTCAAGGAGGTCTATCCTGAGGATAGGGCTCTCTCATCTGGGGGACCTGATGAGAATGGAAGGTGTGCAAGGCTCTCCTAGGACTCAGAGATTTATATCTGAATGTAGGTATTTCCCTGGGTAAAGTTTTGTCTATTACATGAGACTTCTAGGCTGGAGTGAAGTAAAGAATAAGC